CCAAAATCTCAAATTTTAAAACTAAAATCTCAGACCCTTAATTATAAATTCATGATACTCTTCAACTTTACACTTAAACATAAAACCTAAATCCAAAATTATAAAACCAAAATATTAAAAATTATTAATAAAATTAACTGTGAATGAGATATGTCATCAAATAACATTGCAAATAATATGAGACTACAAATAATATTTAAATCCCAATATTTTACATTTCAAATTGCAGAAAAAGAATAGTTGAATTCTTATTGGTTAGTACTAATTTAATGCACATAAATTTTCACCTATTTTTTTTCTTTGAATATCCACTTTTTTTCCCTTTCTCCTCCTTCTTCTTCTTCGACGGTCTATCTCCTCATCTTTTTCTCCTTTCCGTCTTCTTCCTCCGCTTCTTCTTCTTCTTCTCTTCTTTTTCTTTTTTTCTCCTTCCTCTTCGCCTTCCTCGAGCAGATCTGAACGGTGGGCTCTACACTTTTTAATCACGGCCCAGTATATAAATAAAATGTAATTTTGTTGAATATAGGATTCTACAATTTGTGATTTTCCAATCTCACTCAGACTCGGCTAATATCACAAAATGATCAATTTCAGCCGTTCAATTAGATAAAATAGAATCACGTATAAGCAAATTTACCATTTACCAAACAGACAAAACAATCTTTCTATCAATTTTCTTCTTTCTTTTCTCTACTATATTAAGTAATTCAAAAAAATAAACCTTTTGATTATATACCAAAAGTAAGATCATCCACGCAAATAATTTGCAGCATCTGTGGAATTTAACTATGTACTAAAAGTCCAATCACAAGTATCATTTTGTCATTTCGCTAAAGTAAAATATATAATATAGTAATATTAGTGGGGCTAAAATAATAAATTTGCGAGAAAGTTGGACTTGAAAACCAAAAAAAGGGCTTTTGGTAATCCACCTATACACTGACACAGATATGTTTAGAGAGAGAAACGTTAAGAAGCTGACCGGAGAAGACGAAGCAAGCTCAAAAGTTTGTTTGTGAGTTGCTTTACTTTTCCACATTTACCGCTCAATTTGCTCCATCCTGATTGCTCTCTACTTGTTTTCTCCACTAAAGTTCCGATCTTCAATTTCCTCGAGATCCAGTACTAATTTTCTTTACAATCACTTGAGATTTCGCATTTTGGTGACCAAGTTTATTGCTTTATTCAAATCGCTTCTCTGTGTTTTAAGATCTGTTTATCGCTGATTGGTTTTTCTCGCATTAGGAATTGATTTTTGGGGAATAAAATGGATGGGAATTTTCCGCAATGAGGTGTGGTTCGTGGTGGAGCATCTTCGTACGGAGGCGTTTTGTTGCAGGAATTCGGAGGTTATGAAAGTGCTTCTGAGGCAACGATTGGGGTGATTGGAGGAGGCAGCTGCAGCAGCGGGCCGGTGAAATCAGATGGGACGAAGTGACCCGGCGGGCAGGAGGCGATTTGAGGGTTAGGGTTAGGAATCGCCGATTCGGTGTAGGAGACAAAAATAAATGAAATAATGTTCTGATTTTCTTTGTAAAAAGTTAAATGTGTAGGGACTCAGAGCGAATTTTTTTATATTAAATGTGAGGATGTCACATGTCTTTTTATTAGAAAGAGGAGATTTGTCAGGTGTCACTCATATGGAGAGTGATATCCTCTCATTATCATATAGACTAGGACTTTCACCCGCGCACGCGCGGGTCTGTATCTTAAATCAGTTTAAAATATATTTTAATTTTTTTTTAAACTGCAAAAATCAACAATTAAAATTTATCAATATTTCAATACCAAAACTCTCTGGAAAACAAAAGTTTTTAGATATATCAATATCGTATTGAGATCAAATCTTGACATACAAAAATATTGTTTAGATCATATCCCGGTAACAAAAATGTTTGTGTATGTCTAATGACCAAAACTTACTTGAAGATATTCAAATCATTATAATAGGACAAACTTACTTTATCACTAAACTTACTTGTAAAATGTAATGTTAATTTATGAACTATTGTGACGTGTTAGTCATTTTCTAAACAGAAATATATTTTTAAATATGTTTAGTGAAATTCTTAAAATTAGATGTCAACAATATTTGTATGTAACATGATGTTTATTTAAAATAACTTCAGTTGGTTATGTTAGAACTTAAAATGCTATAAATAACAATATTTGTATGTAATAAATTTAAGCTAGATGATAAACTAATATTTTGGTAAGTTTTCAATGGTTATAAAACCTAAAACCTAAATGAAGAGAAGCTAGTCGACACACATAATTGTTCTTCATTTTCTTCTTCGTTGTTGTTTTAAAGTTTTTTTTAATTTTCTTTGATTCATTCTTTTTCAGTATCTTATGTTTTGTTTTCTTCTTTGTCTTTGGTCTTATTTGATTTCTTCTTCATTTTCACTCATCTTCGCGTTTGCTCTTCTTCGTCTTCGCTCTTTTTTTTTTCTCTTTTTTGTTTTGTTTTGATTTGGTTTCTTCTCCTTTGTTCTTATTTTATTTCCTCTTTAGATTGGTCTTCGCAAGTTTTTTTGTTGTTGTTAGGTTTCTTCTCCTTCGTTCTTGTTCGAATTCCTCTTCAAATTGTTCTTCACAAGTTTTTAATATGGTTTTTCCTTATTCATCTTTGTCTTCTTTGGTCTCTATTTTGTATTCGCAATTCAATATCTTTGTTTTCGCTATTCTTCGGTTTTATCTTGGTACTCTTCTTCTTTGTGTCTACTTTTTTCTTCATTTTTTTTCTCTTATTTCTGTAGGTTATTCTCGACCCTTAAAATTCTGCATGGTTCCATTCCTCTTGTAAAATTCTGCATGGCTCTATTCCTCTTAAATTTAGAATAAATTATAATTAAATAAAACACAATTTCGTTACCTGAAAAACTGAAAATAAAATCAAGCTAGAATGACTTATTGAACAAAATATATTCAAAACAGGCCCTTTGAATGTCATATGTAAATACTAAAATGAGAAGAATTTATCTTATTCTGTTTTTCATAAATTTACTTTTGTTTATATTCCTTCTCTTTCAAGTGGCATCTTTTAAAAGTACTACTTATAAACACATGAATATGTAAATATTACAAAACATTGAAAAAACAAAAATAGAAAAATAGAAAAGGAACAAAATACAGCCTTCTATTGTGTTTGCCTTTTCCTTTCAATTTGTGTCATGTAATCACTATTCTGATTTTTTTTCTTTCTTCATAATCAATATTATTTTCCCCATCGAAAGCTTACTAATTTAGGAGCAACAATTCACTTTTGATTTAATCTACACTTTGGTAATTTCGATTCCTTGTTCTCTTCATAGTCCTTTGAATTTTTTGTGGTAATGTAACTTATTTATTAATTAATTGGATGTGCTTCCATTATCAAAATACAAAGAAAATCAATTGAACACCATAGACCAGATAATATTCGAAATAAAGCAAGCGAATTTATTTATTTCACAGAAGGACATGTATACCTTCAGTGTGATGCCCATTGTCTTTGTTTCAATCATTCCTTTGCTTCATGATTTTTCATTAATCCACTACATATCCTTTAGAAGAATTGATCGATCTATGTGAACTTTCAATATGTGATGTCAAAGTATCTTGTCTTCAATATATATCCCTCCATCTTGTTTCCAGGTGGTTTCTCGATGTTGGATTTGTTTGATCTTATATCAAGCTCTGACGTGAACATATGTTTATTCATGTAAGCTACATTTGATCAAAATCCAGTTAATACAATTGTAGCTTTTGTAGGTGTTAAAAAGGGAGGAGATGACTCTTGGTATATATAAGAAATAGATGGCAAAAGTGTGTTAGGGTTTTTAATTTTTATTAGCTAAAGGAAAATTTCCTTATTTGTTTCCTTATTTAATTTCCAATAGTATTATTATTTGTTTTCTTTTTTCTTAAAGGAAAATCTCCTTTTTTACAATTCTGCTGATAAAAATAAAAAGTAAATTAATGAAAAAAAATTCAAATATAAATAATTTTAGATGTTGATATATAATGATATTGTTGGTATAATTTTCTTATTTATTACATATCTCTACTAATATTACACTTATAAATTCTGGAAACTTTCCTATTGCTTACCTTTGAATTATGAAACTTTCTTAAAATATAAAAATATAAAAAGGAATTTAACTAATTGAACAAATAGCTAATTTTATGTGATGATGTGGACTGATACTATTGGTTGTTTAAAATTCGGAAACTTTCTTAATCTAGGAAATACTTATGTGGACCAATCATATCGCGTTTTTAAATCCTATGTGGACGCTCTTAGAGGCTTATAGCCTCAACTTTTATATAGTATAGATTAACTATGTCTCAATGACATACACAGAATCAATAACACTAGATTTTACACACTTTTAATTAAAGTATTTTAAACAGTTTAACCAACTAGGGATTAAAGCCCCGCGAAAGCGCGAGGTTGTTTGCGACAATCTTTCTGTTTGATTTTATTTATATTCATTTATTTGAAATTTTGAATTATGAAGATTATATGTTAACTTCTATGTTTTGGTTATATTTTGAATTAACCCAACAATCTTATACTATAAAAGTTGCCCAATACTCTCCAGTGTATTGATACGTCAGCACTGTAAAGAGGGACACGTGGCATTCCAAAAATAAAACAAACAAAATATTTTGGCATCAACCTTTCGTCTTCTCTGAAGCCAACCTGTTAGCTTATATAAATTCACTCTCTCCCTTTCATTGACATCAAGATTCACACCCTCATCCGTTTTATTTGTTCTCTTCATTCAAATGGATAGAGCGAATTAGATAGGGATGAACGTATTGGCTGCCAAATCTATTACTTGCATATTGGGTGAGGAATCGATTCTCTGGAGAAATCAAGAGCAGTTTTATCGACACTGAGAAACAAACCCAGAAGGTGAGTGGCAGAACTTTATTTGAATCATTCATATCATATGGGTTCAATGGATTTCTCTGGTTTTATATTTTCTTTTTTGTCAGTCCAGACCAGAGAGATGGATGCGAGTGGTGGTGGGAAAACACGATCCAGAGGAAGAGATATGGGAATAGGGGTTCGTGATGGTGGAGCAATCTGAATAAGAGGACCTAACTGCGAGTCCGGCGGATCTGGTGGTTCGGCGGAGAGTCTTAGGGAAGCTCACCCGGAGGTGAGAGAGAGTTGACGGCCGGTCCTGTGGCTCCGATCTTTTGCAGATATCTTTGATGGTCCATCCTGACAAATGCAAGCATCCACAAGCATAGGAGGCTTTTGGAGGTTAATATTCTTATAATTTCCTAACATATTCAGTTGTTTTTTGTGTGAATGAACCATCTGGATGTTGCATCAAGCAAGAAATGATTGGCCCTCCTTAAAAGAATTGTTTATTTATTTATCTGGATCAACTCGTAATATTCATACGCTTCCTGTATTTACTGAACAGCATTGGCTAAAGCGCAACAGCTACTGCTTAACGACCAAGAAAGGGATTATATTCTCACCCAACTACATGCTGCGAAAGGTGAGAACTGCACTCACAAGCCAATAAACTCAAAGCCGACATCGCGGGCCTTGAAGCTTCTCTAAACTCTACTGGAGGGTACCAAGAACCCGTCTCAGATGCTCTCAAGACTCAACCTTTTCGCTGTATCAATCCTCTTGTTTCCAAGAAAATCATTCAGGTAGTTAATTTACTCCAAAAAGCTATCAAATTTGGCAGATTCTGCTGACTAATTAGGTTTTGTGTTACCATGTTATGCCCTAAATGTTATAAGTTTGTGAATTTGTGTGATAGATGGATGTGATTCAAGTGGAGGAGAAAGGGTTTTATGTGAGGTTCGTGTGTAACAAAGGATATGGTGTTGCTCCATCACTCTACAAGTCTTCGGAGTCTCTCACAAGTTTTCAAGAGCAAAACTCAAACCAAAACTCTCCTTCTTCTGACAGATACCTCTTAACATATACATTAGATGTAAACCAACTTGTGCCACTTTTTTTGAAGTCAAGAAACTACGTTTACTTACCCGAGTTTTTATTGAAAGAGGGGACATGTTTTGAACAGAGCTTAAACTTGCCTAACTTGAAGCTGTGGATCACAGGATCACTTCTAAACAAAGGTTTTGTATTCGTCAAGCCATTCACTTGATTCATTTTTAATTCTACATCTCATTCATTGTCTTCCTTTCTGTAATGTTTTTATAACTTCCATGGATCTAACCTGCTGCAGCTAAACAAAACTTTCAGGTTTCGAAAAAATTAACGCATCAAGGGCATGGCAGAGAAGCGGTCAAGGGAAGAGAAGTCGGGAAAGATTAAAACGGCGGAGTAGAGCGGAATGTTGATATTTGTGATCATGGCCTAATTGAGAAGGTGAGCTACTGAATCGGAAGAGACTTTTGAGCGGAGGAAACATAGGAAAGTTTTTGGAGTTATGGTTTGGTGGTGAGGGAATTGGGATTCAACGTAATGGAAGAACTTAAGCGTCTGAAGGAGATGGAGAGAAAGAGAGAGTTAGAGGAAATTCTTTGTTCTGATATATCTTCTGATTATTCTTCACCACTTTTATTCTGACGCTTTGGTTTCTGTTTGTGGATTAATCTTCGACACACAATATTACAAAGCTTGTGTTATTAGGATTGGTAAATTTTGGTTATAATAGTCTTTGAAGGACATGTGTCTTTCCCTACGAGTTGGATATAAATTTGGCTCCCCAATGATCTCCAGGAAAACTTATAAAAATATGTGTTCTCTTAATATTGTTTTCATTTTGATTGGGCCGGGAGCAGCTTACATGTTATTTTTATAGATTCGGAGGAGTTCTAAGCTTCTGAGCTAATTGATGAAGCGTAATAAACCCTGGTCCTGGGAGTTGGGATTCAACGGATTGGTGGGAGAAGAGAACAGAAGTGAAGTATAAGAAGAAGAATAAGTCTGATCACTGTTTCAGCACAACCAAATTAGACTTTTATCATAAAAAACGAGTTTGTAATTAGACTCTACATAAAAACAGAGTTTCAGCACAACCAAATTCCAGTTTATCATATAGTGTGTAATAAGAGTGTTAAGATTAGTAATAAGAACACATTATTAGTATACTTAGTTTAGGAGGGTTGGTTATGATCCGATATCCATTTATTTCGTGGGTTGTAATTTATAACTTTAACACAATTATATTAATATTCATATGGTAAATGGAATATATGGATATCCATATATATAAAAAATAAGTAATAATATTTTTCTTTTTTTCATAATAAATGAGTAATATTTCTTTTTTACAACGAGTAAATTTTTTTTTAAAATACAATATACAGTAGAAACTCTATAAATTAATAGTCGATAACTGATTAATTAAATGAATAGGCTAGAGTTTCATGTATTGAGCATCAGAGTTATTCACAGTTTTTTAAAAACTATGTATGATGTTGGAATTGCAAATTCAAAAGTTATTGAATTCAGTCTCCGCGTAACCGCGTTAAATGAATGGTGAGAAAAAAAGAACTCGAGAAACTAAAGAAAAATTGTTTCGGAGAGACTCATATTTTTTTTAATAAAACAACCTTTACAAACATGGAAAAAAAAAGTAAATAAAAAAGCAACAATATAACCCATATATGCGAATTCTCTAGGTGTGTGAAGAGGCTCCCGTGCTGGTAGATGTATAGCAGTGTTTTCAAACGATATCGTTTTGTGTTAGTATTCCAAGAAGCTGTAGACATTGCTAACTATGAGGTTTGAGGTTTACAGATTTAATGTCTTAGAATCTTTGGCAAAAGCACAAATTCTCGAGTTCAATGTTTGAAATCAATGTTTTTCTTCGAAAATCTTTGTATTAACTATGAACTGTGTCCATCATGCTGATTTTTGTCTGTCTCTATTTTCAGTTGTAATTTGCTTTGTTTGTAGTTTCGGTCTTCCAACCTTTTTTAGTTTTTCTGTAACTTTTTTCGAGCATCAAAATTTGGTTTAAAACTGAATATTAAACCAAAAAAAAATTCTATGTAGTTTGATAACTTATTTTGAAACTATTGAAATATGATCTTCTAAAATGCATACATATCAAAGTAATACAATGAGAAAAATGTTTAAAAACAAACTATAAAAAAAATATTTATATATATATATATATATATAAATCTTCACTAAAAACAACAAAATATATTCTCTCTTTCTTAAAGAAAAACTTTTAAGAGTTTTCATTTATATTAAGAAAATATATTAATAATGTATGATCTGTGATTAACAATTTTTTTTAAAAAAAAAAAAACAACAAAAATTCAATATTTTTAACTTAACATGTACATTTAATCAGAAACACTTCAAAATGAATTGAAAATTGAGAAAAATTATCTTTTTATAAAAAACATTAATTTAGAGTGTGTAATATGAAAATGGTTTAGAAGAAAACTATAAAAAATATGTTAAAAATGATTTTTCTCAGTTTTGATTACATTTTTTAAAAGATCATAAAACTAATAATCACTTGGAGGAAGTTAAATTTAAATGAAAAATACATCATCTTTTGGTGGTAAATGAATTGTTGATATATTTGTAATTCTGACATACAAACAAAATATTTGATCTTTGTAAAAATTATGGCAAATTCCCTTGGAAAATTTTGGTTTATGTGAAAATAAATGCTGGAACACAAAGAAAGCCTTGGTGAAATTCCCATAATAATTTCGTCGCGTCACAACTGTGGTGAAAAGAAAGAATCAGTATGTTGAGATATCATATTATTATTTAGTTAAATAAGCTTTACAAAAATGAAAAAAAAAATTAAACAAAAAAAAGTGACAACATTACCCCCGCGTAGCGCGGGCTCAAACCTAGTTAACACTAATAATATGATCAAATTTTTTTATTAAAATATTAACACCTTACTTCATCATGAGTTTTCTATTTCTAAAATTTAATATGCAATTGACTCAACGTTAAAATTTGTAAACATGGTGTAGAATCTCAATTGCACTCAAAATATGATGAAAAACAAAAACATGTATAACTTCTTACATATATGCTTTGTTGTGGTAGCATATAACAATTAGTTATTTTCTATTATGTTTGTAAATAGAAATTGTATTTTTGAAACAAACATGTCACCATTCTTAAAATTTTCATGTTTTTCGTTGCAGTGAAATTTAAATAATAACTCGACTTCTATTTTTTAATAAAACAAACTCTAACTCTAATTTTTTTATTAGCTTTTTACTATGTTAAATAATTTATATTGTACTTTTTTTACTTGTAAGCACATTATAATATTTTTAAAGAGGATAAATCCTTTGAATTAAAACCTAACTATATACTATTTAAAGTTAAATATTTCTTTATTTAATCTCCATTTTATATTGCAAATTTCTTTTAACTTTTAACATTAAGATATCACATACTTTATATTAATCAATTAAATTGTTTGTATATTTTTCTTAGTTTGTTTATGTGTAAAATAAAAATATATATACAGAAAAATTAATACACATATATTAAATACAATTAATGATTTTTTTTTGCTGATGTGGATAGTCTAGGAGGAGAGAGCAACTCTCCTATTATATTTAAGATAACACTATATTTTGTTAGAAAATTTTAAAACCAATAACAATAGATTATGGTTGGTAAGTGTTTTGAACATAATTTAGGATGTAATAGAAACACAACAAAAAAAATCTAATTCACGTATCTATTAACATTTATGCCTATTAATTTATTTTGACTCATAATTGAACTAACCATAGCCTAAAAAAAATTATGTTATGTGTGGTCAAAAAGTCAATACTATATTTTTAATACCATGCCAAAATTATTTTATTCAACATAATATGAGTGAACTTCCATATATATGTTGTACATAGTCAAATAACTTTTTCTAAAGGTATAATGGTCAATAATACTATCTTTAAAGCCTGGCCATCGTTATAAATCTCCTTTAAACAGTGTCTAAATTTTTCAGATATCAATATTCAATATACTAGTAAAGAATTTTAAAGAGAAAACAAAAAATGGCCAAGGCAGTTTCTTCCCTTGTTCTTCCTATCATCTTCCTTGTTATGTTTGCTTTAGGTAAACATTTATTTTAAATTTTATTCACAAAGTTATACACGATTACTTCTTTTACATCAAATTAGTTTTCTCTCAAGTCTATTCATTGGCGACTCAAGTGTTCCACTTCTACATAGTTCATTGTGATGCTAGCATTTAGATATACATGTATATTTGTGAATTATTATACTTAAAATAAATCACATAAATATAAATTTATCATTGGTTTTCTGTAATGTTTATTGGCATATATCATAAATATTATAGTTCATTGTATTGATATATATCCTAAATATTACTAATCTTCTGTCATCAAAATTATATATATATATTAAAAATAAACTGTTTTGTTTGATATAGTTGAGCAGAATATGGGATGCGTGTTCGTTGCTGGCTTCGTGCGGTGATTTCAATTGTGATGCGGTATGCAAAGCTAGATTTGGACCAAATGCATCGTCCTTCTGTGACCGCGACTATGCAGCTGGAAGATGTGTTTGCAATTTCCCTTGTCCGACTAAAAAGATTAATGTATGATTTCAAAAGTATTTTGGAATCTCATATTCTTCCTAATGTGCTAGTAGAAATGAAGGTGCTAGGATTTTTCAAAATATACTAGACTAATGCCCGTGCATACGCGCGGGTTTTGTTGTTGTTAAAAAAATTTAAAAATGGTCGAAAACCATTTTCGATTTGCGATTATTAATATTATAAAGTATAATCTAATAATATCCATATTTAATTCCTATTTGTTGGTTAACGACTGACTTTCAAACATATATTTTTCTATCATACCACATGTCTATGAACCATTAACTCTCTTTGTTAACTTACGACCACGTAGAACGGACTCTGATTTTCTGCCATCGTTTTTGCTAAATCCAGTTCTCCATATATTAGGAGAATTTAGATGTTTGATAATAACTTAAGATGGAAGCCGAAATGTAAAAGTCTTGGATTAATAGAGTGGTTTTATTATTATAAGTTGAAATGTATAAGATTTAGTGTTATTGACTGGAAAGAAGGAAAAGTGATGTCACAATATCAATTAATGAAGTGTTGATACAACGTGGAAGGTGAAACAACTGACGGTTTTGAAACTTATATAACTGTAACGACTAAGAATGCGAAGAGAATTCTCTTTAAAAGTTTTGCCACATGTCAATCATATGGAGAGAGTTGGCCTCAATTCATATATATGATTAAAAATAAATTATTTTCTATAGAACCTTTGACACCAATTAAAATATATTTCCAACGGTGTGAAACCACTCCGTCCCACTGCTTCTTCATAAATGTTTAAAATTACATGCTTAATTTATAATTTCTCGCAGAATTTATTTTTATCAAGCAAAAAAAATAAGAAAATTATAAAACTGACATTTTTAATTGGTTGCCTATACTAAAAGGAATGAGATTACAAAGTTAACATCAATAAATTTAACTAAAAGAACGGGTTTGAAAATTTGTAATTACTGGGCCAATTTTCTCCTTTATCTCTCGCCGACTTAAAGGATGATACATAGTTTGGCTAGTGATTATAGACTGTCTGATAAATCTCAGGAAAATCTTTTGATGTCAAATTTGTTTCATTTTCAAAACTTTCAGACAGTGGAAGATGTCATGTTTTTGCTTTAATAAACCGGAATCTTGTGATTTATCGTGTATTTCATATGGTTTCAGAAATAAATCAACCCGTAAATCGTTATCTATTTTTCACAATATAGGCAAGAAATGATTTGCCATCGTCCATGCCAGTTCAACCATTTTGGTGTTGTTTGTTCACCCAAACAGAAAGAGGTTACTATCGCCAATGCAATCACATATTGTCTTCGTGTTCAGGTATAATCTTCCGTATAAATGGAAGTCTTTAATTTACTATGAATGATTCTATTGTTTTTTTTTTGTCGTCGTTATATGGGCTTTTAATACTGGTATCGTTGATTGTGAGAGTTCAACATGACGAGAGGGTTCTCAAGAAGTGATAAAAAAATCAACTTCCAAGTTTGCCATAGCAAATCGAAGTACCACATTGTGCGTCATGAGGTATCGATGGCAAAAAATGTTTGAATTGATAGAGTCCATATATTTAATGTAGGAACTGATGTCCAAGTGGATCAAGAAAAGACATGTCAACGTGTTGACCAGAGCACAATGCAGTTTTTTTGCAATAAATCAGTTTATTGTAAAAAAAAATATTTCAACTTATTTGTGTATGTTTAATGTCTTACTTTAAAATTTGAGATTCAAATCTAAATATGTTTACTTTGGAGTCTTCAGCCTGCTTTTAAATAGATTAAGGTGATGATTGGTTCTCCCGCTACCACCCGCAAACGCAGCGTTTGCGGTTCGTAGCGGTTCTTAGCGTTTTATAACAATCACGACAACCGCTTTCAACCGCTCTATACCACTCTGTACCGCTCTATATCGCTGAAAATCAAAAGCTCCTTTCCGCAAGCGTTTGCGGTTGCGGGCGGTTGCGGTTTGAAAAAAAAAAAAAAAAAACATAATATCTCCAAATTTGGAATAAGGGTATATTTTTTTGAAAAATACCATAATTATGTTTAAAAATTTCGAAAATACCCTAAATTTTTTCTGTTTTGAAAAATACACTTTTAAAATGTAAAAAGTATGTTTTGACGTGATTTAAACAAAAAAATAATAAATAATTACAAATTATAAACGAAAATTTAAAAAAATAATAAACTAATAAGTTTTTTTTCAAATAAATATAGTATATGTTAAACTGAAACAAATTTTAATATTTTGGATCTTTATATAAACAACTTAACCTCATACACATTCAAACCAAATGAAACTTTAAATAAATTAAAACTTTACATATATTTAAAGTTTATAAATTATTAAAAATTTAAAAGTGGAGAAATATATCTTTCATTTTTAATGTTTATCTTTTGAAAAATTTAAATATTTTTGAAACTTTGCATAAACAACTTTAATCTCACCCCATTTAAACTTTATATAAACAATCTTATATTTTTATTAAATTGTTTAAAAAAAACTAAACAGGTAATTAGGATGTTAAAATGATACAAAATTATTATCAAATATTAATATTTTATATTTCTTATTTGAATTTCGTTTTTATTAAATTAGGAATAATCATTTTACATATAAAAAGTGTATTTTTCAAAACCAAAAAAAAAGGGTAGTTTTCAAATTAAAAATTCATCAAAAAATATATTTCAAAAAAAAAATTATTAATATGGTTATAAATGTTTTGAATAATTATATATTATTTTTATTTTAGTAACTTTTGGTTAAACCGCTCTTGCACCCGCTGGCTAACCAGTCAAAAATATCCCGCAAACGCAACCGCTATGAATTGCTATACCAGTCGTACAAACAGCTTTTAATCGCAAACTCCCGCTTCCGCAAACTCCCGCAGCCGCAAACTCCCGCAACCGCAACCGCAGCGGTTAAACCAGTCAGACCCTAACTATGTCTCAATGACATACACAGAATCAATAACACTAGATTTTACACACTTTTAGGGTCTAAATGGTAACCGCTGAATGTTGCTGAATGCGGAATCTGGCTGAATTAAATGAAGACTTTTTGCAGAATTTGGCTGATTAGTTAGTAATATGAACGGTAACTGCTGAATGTTGCTGAATGTTGAATTAAAAAAAAAACTAAACTATTTATTTCAGAAATTTGTTTTATAATATATTTAAATGTAAAAATTCAAAACAAAATGTTGATCTTAAATTAGAAATATATATATTTAACCTTATTAAATATAAACATATATTTTTTTTTAAACAACAATATTTATTATAATTAAAGCATTTACTCATAAATAAATAAATGGATGGGTGATTTGATTTAAATATTCTAAAATTTTTATATAATTTGAAAATAATTCATGTTTTCAAAATTTTGAAACCTAGTGTGTTTATTATATATAAGAAACAATATATACAATTATTAATCTTTGAGATTTTTTTCATGATAAGATAATTATTATAATATGCTTGTATTAAAAAAAATGAAAACTGATGTTAGTTTTCTACATTCTTTATTTTTTGTAGTATCTTTACAAAGTTTCTCTAAATAAATTTATTTTGAATATCATACAAGTTTTTATATGCAGTAATATAATATGTATTAGTTGTTGAAATCCTCAACTTTTGTCTTTTTGTAAACTTTTCTATTCAGCTGAATTCTGAGCAACTGGTGTATTACTACAGTTAATCAGCTGCATTCAGCTGCATTCTTCAATTCCTCAATATACCAGTTTGGGCCTTAATTAAAGTATTTTAAATAGTTTAACCAATAACACTAGATTTTGTTAGAAGATTTAAAAACCAATAACAATAGATTATGGTTGGTAAGTGTTTTGAACATAAATTAGGATGTAACAGAAACACAACAAAAAAATCTAATTTATGTATCTATTAACATTTATGCCTATTAATTTATTTTGACTCATAATTAACTAACCATAGCCTAAAAAAAAAAACTTATGTTATGTTTGGTTAAAAAGTCAATACTATATTTTTAATATCATGCCAAAATTATTTTATTCAACATAATATGAGTGAACTTCCATATATATGTTGTACATAGTCAAATAACTTTTTCTAAAGGTATAATGGTCAATAATACTATCTTTAAAGCCTGGCCATCGTTATAAATCTCCTTTAAACAGTATCTAAATTTTTCAGATATCAATATTCAATATACTAGTAAAGAATTTTAAAGAGAAAACAAAAAATGGCCAAGGCAGTTTCTTCCCTTGTTCTTCCTATCATCTTCCTTGTTATGTTTGTTTAAGGTAAACATTTATTTTAGATTTTATTCACAAAGTTATACACGATTTCTTCTTTTACATCAAACTAGGGCTTAACCCGCGCATCGCGGGGGTTGTTCGTGATAATTTTTCTGTTTGATTTTATTTATATTCATTGATTTGAAATTTTGAATTATGATGGTTATATGTTAACTTCCATGTTTTGGTTATATTTTGAGTTAACCCAACAATTAACACTAACAATATGATCAATTTTTTTTATTAAGATATTAACACCTTACTTCATCTCGAGTTTTCTATTTCTAAAATTTAATATGCATTTGACTCAACGTTAAAATTTGTAAACATGATGTAGAATCGCAATTGCACTCAAAATATGATGAAAAAGAAAAACATGTATAACTTCTTACATATATGCTTTATTGTGGTAGCATGTGAGAATTGATTATTTTCTATTATGTTAGTTTTGTAGATATAAATTGTATTTTTGAAACAAACATATCACCATTCTTAAAATTTTCATGCTTTTCGTTGCAATGAAATTTAAATAATAACTCGACTTCTATTTTTTAATAAAACAAACTCTAACTCTAATTTTTTATTAGCTTTTTACTATGTTAAATAATTTATAATGTACCTTTTTTACTTGTAAGCACATTATAACATTTTTAAATAGGATAAATCCTTTGAATTAAAACTTAACTATATACTATTTCAAGTTAAATATTTCTTTATTTCATCTCCATTTTATATTACAACTTTCTTTTAACTTTTAACATCAAGATATCACATACTTTATATATTAATCAATTAAATTGTTTGTGTATTTTTCTTAGTTTTGTTTATGTGTAAAATAGATATAAATAAATATTAATATACATATATTAAATATCTTAAATACAATTAATGATTTGTTTGCTGATATGGATGGGGAGGAAAGAGCAACTCTCCTATTATATATTACAGTATATATAAGATGTCTAAATAAATTTCTGATTACATATTATGAAGATATATTGTTTTGTTGCATGATCTTATTCTTGTACATGAGCAATTTCAAACTGAATCAAAAATTAAACTGAGACCAGTAGATTTTTAATTTGGATCCGACCATATATAAATAATTAAATATGTTGATGGAAAAACTCAAAATTCATTTATTGTTAAGAAGTAAATTAACGTTAGATTAAAAGACAAATAAGAACCTTCAAGAGCCGAAATTCACAAGTTTGGAAATTACAGTTTGAGGAAGCGAAATCGTCTTAAGCGCCTTCTCCGATTCGATCCTTTGTTCGTTTAATCAAAAATTTCGCTCGATTCTGCTCCATTTTGATTTGTCTGCAGGTGTTTCTCACTAGTCTCAGAAACCCTTCCAAGGTGTCGATGTGAGAATTCTTCAGGAAAGCAATGTTGTGAACTCTAATGGCGGCACAGACTCTATCCTTGGTGCAACCCTGTGGCCTGGTACTGTCCTGTATTATACGATTGTGCTTCATCGGAGAACGTATTCATGTGTGGTTATTCGATCTTTGATGTGTGTATTTGAAAATTTCTCAGCGTTTTGCTGGTAGACGATTGAGAAGTGTGATTGTAGTCGAAGCTCGGAGAGGAAACTGGAATTCAATGAGGTCATTTCTAATTTCTCCGATTTTTGTTGTTTGTGGAAATTAGGGTGGTGTTAATTAATCAAAGCTGGCTCTGGTTCTGTTTCTGTAGGCTTAGTAATTTCTTCTTCTCCAAAGTGTGGAAGATATCTTATCGGTCAAAGCATAATTTTCCTGAAAATTTTCTGGAACAAATTGAAACGTGTGCCAATGCTAGGCTCGAAAATCAGTCGAAGCTGATAAGTAAGGTAAATGCAGTTTTCTTTGGTTTTGATTTTGATTTCTCCTCTGAAACTCTCTATTTAGGATTTATGAACTTTGTGTTTCATGTTTCTCTATGCATTTCCGCTATTTGTGATTCCTTGCTCTTTGACACACAGGTTACAGCTTTGGTGGAGTATGGTAATGTTGATGATTATTTCGATAAGAAATCTGATGAGCAAGTCAAGAAAGAACTTGAATTCGCGTGCAAGAAGTTCCCTTCAATCACTCTTGGCCATTCTCGTCCCGTGGAACTATACAGCAAGGATAGATCTTCCGAGGAAACAAGAATCATTCTCAAAACGCCACCTGAAAACAGTTTCCTTCCCACTCCCACGCTTGTAGGGGTGCTTGATCCTGACAATCTTTCCGGAACATTCCCTCCAGAGCTTCTGAATGTTGAGTCTTCCAGTCTCAGAGAAGAAACGTCAGATGGCTCTTCGTTTACGTCCCCAGCTGCAACATCCGAAGCTGAAACGACCTCTGATGATTCTGCTGCTCATCGTTTCCTTGATTGTTCTATAGGCTCTATGCCTGGTTTAAGTAAGCGGCACAGTAATCAGCTAGACAGCTATGGCTTTCACACGGTAGGCATTTAAAATACACAGATATTAAAAACTTCTTCCTGAGGAAAGGCTTAAACCCATTTTTCAAACCGTCTGTCAATACAGATGAGGAAACTATTGCATCATTTTCCTCGTACCTATGTAGATTTGCGGAACCCACAAGTTGTTATTGAGGATGGACAGTACTTGATATTTGTTGGGAAAATCTTGTCTTCCAAGTGAGTTTAAATTGTGTGTTTTCTTTTTGAAATCATTCTAAATCATCTCAAATATATTGAGTATTATCAGTCAACTACAGTACCATTGTTTGCATGTTGATAATTTCTCAACTATTAATTTTTCAGCAGCCTTCATTTATGCCTATGTTTCATGTCGCATCTACATGTTTTGAAATTCAAATTTGAACTCTATTCAATGTGCAGGGGAATTAGAGCTAGCGATAAAATTTCATTTCTTGAAGTTGTTGTCAGCTGTGAAGTCTCAGGCAGAGACAGAACTCCAGAGAATCTGAGTTATAATAATGCTGATGATAAAGGAGGAAGAAAGGTTTTTTTTCATCTGAAGAAATTCTTCAGTGGTCATCAATACACCTGGCAATCATTTCTTAATAGAGTTCAAGAGAGATATAGACCCGGGGACCTTGTATGCGTTAGCGGGAAGGTTAGTCTTTTGGTTCCCCTAAACTTATCTTTGTATGTATCTGTTTCTGTTATCTCTTGCTTAGGTAGTATACTTATTTGCCACAATGCTTCATAAATGTTTAATTCTCTTCCTGAGGTCAACTCTTGAAGCTTGGACCTGTTTTAGCACGATAAAAGTCCACTAAAGAATGAGATTTATGTGGATGGATTTTTTTTGGAACTCGTGCTGATTCAAGAATATGTTGATAATCTCTTATAAATCTAGGTCAAGGCATTGCATGCGAATGATCATTTTGAAATAAGTAAATACAATATTGATGTACTTAAAGATGAAGAGGAGTCCTCTCTTCGAGTCCAGGAGAGGCCATATCCTATTTACCCTGCAAAAGGAGTGTTGACTCCAAAGTTCATTGGTGATGTCATCTCCAGGTTTTGTTTCTCTTTTCTATTCCATGATCCTCAGGCCTGAATAGTAGTTTGAAATGCCATATCAGGGAATCTTTTAGATTTTGAGTAAAAGCTTCACCATGTACCTGATTGAGTTCATTTTATGTTTTAAGACTGGCCTGAGTTAAGAATTGTTCTTTACATATGATAAAATACGTGAACTTCCCAGAACTAAGAATTGTTCCTCTCCCACATTTTTTGTCTGTTAGGGCTCTGCATGTTCTCCCTGCCAATATAGATCCGCTTCCTAAGGAAATCAGAACAGGTTTTGGCCTACCATCTCTTCATGATGTAAGTCTTGTTTCACTTGAAGCGTGCTCTTTGATTACTTCTCAACTGCTTTTTCCATATCATTTTTTTTCCCTCACTGTAAACGTAGGCCTATACTGGTATTCACGAGCCCAAGGATTTAGATGAGGCTGATTTAGCTCGCAAAAGGCTTATATTTGACGAGTTCTTTTACCTACAGGTAAGGTAGCTTCTTAAGAATAATTGTCTTCTCATAAGCCGCATTCGTAATCATTATTTGTTAGTAAAAAAAATCCATTTCGTTTCGTTGAATTTTCTCATACAGTTGGCACGCTTGTACCAAATGGTTCAAGGTCTTGGCACGAAATTAGATAAAGATGTATTGCTGGAAAAGTTTAGAAACCCAGTGCTCAATTCCGTTTATATAGAAGAATGGTCCGAACTCACCAAGTGTTTTCTGAAGGCTCTACCATTTTCCCTTACTCCGAGCCAGCTCAGTGCTGTCTCAGAGATAATTTGGGATCTAAAGCGTCCAGTACCAATGAATCGGCTTTTGCAGGTAGTTTTGTCATTTGAAGTGTTTGTAAATTTATTTATTGTAAACAAATGAGAGTTTCTTGATATATCGGTTTCCTTTTTAGGGTGATGTTGGATGTGGAAAAACAGTGGTCGCTTTCTTGGCTTGCATGGAGGTCGTAGCATCCGGTTACCAGGTTGGTCAATGGAATCTTTCTACGGCCTGTATCGATTTCACCAATCAAACTTTCTTAGATACGTCATTGACTTATTATTGGCATGTTACCATTTTCCCATACGTAGGCAGCTATCATGGCCCCCACAGAATTACTTGCAATCCAGCACTACGATCAGTTGCGTGATCTACTTGAGAAGATGGAGGGGGTACCGTCCAAGCCAACCATTGGGTTGCTCACAGGCTCAACCCCAACAAAACAATCACGAATGATTCGCCAGGTAAGCCATGCATCTAACAATTATACAATGCAATAAGTTTGCATTCCTTATAGCTGTAAACTGATGACAGGACCTTCAAAGTGGAGCTATATCGATTGTAGTTGGAACTCACAGTCTGATAGCTGAAAAGGTAGAGTACTCTGCATTACGTATTGCCGTAGTTGACGAGCAACAACGGTTTGGTGTAATCCAGAGAGGAAGATTTAACAGCAAGGTCAGGCTCCTTAAGTATTTTGATCCTATCAGATATTTGCTTTAATGATCCATGGTTATCATAGGATCGGTGACTTGGAATGAACTTCTGTCTTTAGCGTCCATTCTTGTTAATTGACGCAAACCTATAATTCGTAAAATGAAGTAAGTTTAATGTTGCCTTTCTGCTGCAGTTATATGGGACATCAATGACATCAAAATCTGGCTCATCTGACTCTGATGATGCTTCCAAATCTGATCTCAATGACAATATGGCTCCCAATGTTCTTGCAATGTCAGCCACCCCAATCCCGAGATCACTTGCCCTAGCTTTATACGGAGACATCTCTTTGACTCAAGTATGTAAACAGCTTCCATTTTAATTCATCAGGTAGAAACTATTGTGTTTAAACTTCTCTAAAACATTGTTAATGACTACAACTATTTGTTTCTTCAGATTACCGGCATGCCACTTGGGAGATCACCAGTTGAGACGCACATTTTCGAGGGGAATGAGACTGGCCTCGAGGAAGTCTACTCGGTAATGCACTGTGACGATAACTACATCTCTTTACTTGACTCCCCAGCATAGAAACAATCATTCAAGACATTGCTTTTGATTGTCAGATGATGCTGAAAGATCTGAAGTCTGGAGGGAGAGTATACCTTGTGTATCCTATTATTGACCAATCAGAGAACCTGCCACAGCTCCATGCTGCCGCTGCTGAGCTCGAAACAATACCCATAAAATTCCCAGAGTACAGCTGCGGACTATTACATGGAAGGATGAAGAGTGACGACAAAGAAGAGGCTCTTAAAAAATTCAGAAGCGGAGAGACGCAGATACTTCTCTCCACCCAGGTGGTAGAGATTGGCGTTGATGTTCCAGACGCTTCAATGATGGTTGTCATGAACGCTGAAAGATTTGGAATCTCTCAGCTGCACCAACTCCGAGGACGTGTTGGCCGCGGAACCAGAAAATCGAAATGTTTACTAGTTGGCACAAATGCCAATAACCTAAAACGGTTGAACATGCTGGGGAAGTCGTCAGATGGATTTTACTTGGCGAACATAGACCTTCTTCTACGTGGACCTGGCGATCTGCTTGGGAAGAAACAGTCTGGTCACTTACCGGAGTTCCCTATCGCTAGGCTAGAAATAGATGGCAATATGTTGCAGGAAGCCCACATAGCCGCTTTGGTAAAATATTCATTCTCCTAATTACAGTCGAATAATGATTTTTTATGTCTCTAAATTTATACGTTGCCTTTGGTTGCTATGTTTCCGCAGAAAGTTCTATCAGATTCTCATGACCTGGACAAGTTTCCAGCGCTGAAAGCTGAGCTTAGCATGAGACAGCCGCTTTGTCTTCTTGGGGACTAAAAAGGTTTGGCCAATGTACATACATACCATTTTCCTAGTACATACTCGGTATGTCGCATTCTCTTTTGGTATTTAGGTACTATGACATTAACATGGGTCATGTCATGACACAACATGTTTTAGTAAAATAGTCTTTTGGGGTCAGTTTCAGATTGTCTCTGTAGTATGGCCATATGCTTAAACTTTTGCGATCTTGTGGAAAAAGAAGGATAGTTGATGCGATGTACAGTTTTGGGGTCTTGTTTGAATGTGACTTGAACTAATGGAATCTATAAAAGTATTAAATTAGTGGTTGCTTTTATACTAACTTGGTACGCTTATAGGGAGAGTTTTGTGGAGTGTAAAGAAATGTACAAAGTGGTAATAGGAATGGTGAGGGGGGACCCCACAGGAGTTTTTGGAATGAGGAGATTCACGGGGAGAGGGACAAAGAGACAAGTGGTGGCCCACAAAATGTTTCCTACCCAATCAGCAAAGAATGGGACCCACTAACCTCCTTGTCTCCCTCCTTGTCTTTTGCCCCCAACATAAAAAACTTTCTCTTCCATATCGGAACTTGAAGTGTTGGTAACTTGTTTCACTTCTCGTGGACACTTCTTGTGCGCGAATCGGTGTCCTAAATCATTCTGCGTCTTCAGATTCAGACTACCAAATCAGTCCTTTCTCTACAGTAGTTAGATTGAATCGATCATTATTGGGGATCAAACATGTTTTTAAAACAGAAACATAATCAATAGATCGTTGTTTTGAGATTAAAAAAAATGCTAGTATTACATCTTCACGTATATTTTGGCTACTGAGCTGGTAGAATTGGTAATGGTCGGCAACATTTTGATGATAGACCTACTGGATTTCACATTTTTATATTTACTTTTATGATGAGTTAGGATGGGAGGTGGGGTTTGATAAAGACAATCATGATAAGACAATTCTCTTGTTTAATTTGAACACTACCGGAGACAAAATGCCGGTAGCTTTTACACAAAACTATGCCGGCTTTTTAATCCTTGTTTTATTAACAAATAATGAAAACAATCCCTTATCTCCCTATTATGTGGCATTAATGTTACTTACTGATGATTGTCTTTTGTTCGAATTGAAACTGAAACCTTATGAGTAGAAAAAGTAAAAATGAAATACTACTAGATAGAGTGGTTTGGATCCAAATAGTAGAAAGAAAATGATTAATAGACAAGACAAAAAAACTTTTTTGACTTTAGAAGATAGTGATGTCGGAAGATAAATCTGAGTACGTCCCGAGACGAATGATTTGCTCATCGGAAGCTACAAAAGCTGTTTGTACAAATTGGGGATCATCTCTTACATTTTTCTATAATGGCCTTGAATGGAGGGTGGAATAAAGGCGGTTCAAAGTGGATCAACCGCATATAAGATCCCCATTCATGAGAAAAGAGTTATTATGTGTGTTTTATTGTTAAATTAATATTAAAAAAATATGAATCGCAAGTGATCCAAATTAGTGAAGAAAAATAGTGATCCATCTGTAACAGTAGAACCGCTATATAGTTGGAGTAAATAGAGTATGATCCATCTAGTTCTTTTATTTTATTTATTTTTCTTCAAAGAAATGTTTGTAAAACTATGACTTTTGCAATTTTATATTAATTCAATTTTATATTCTATATATTAAGGGTTTATAGTATTTTAAATATATTAATTTGGGAGTGATTTAAATTTATTTGCATATGGTGTATACAATGTTTCTAAAATAATGCATTATATCATGATTAAATAATATTATACATGTAATCTATGAATCCAATATGTTTTAATTTAATAATTTAGTATCTCTTATCTAAAATTTTAATAATAATATATCTGTATTAAACTAAATATTTTTTTTTTACAGAAAACACTAAATATTTTTTTTTATGATAAGAGCCATTTTAGATACATAACTTTAAACTAAACTAAAATTACATGTTGAAATAAATAAAACATAATATTTTGGATTGTCTATATATATTACTGATAAATTTTAATGTCTAAGCAATTTTTATATTTATATTTATTTCATGTTATTGTGTTTATAATTTAAAATTTATAAATAACCTAATTTGTATAATTAAAATAATAATTTTCTATTTCATATAATTATTACAAATATGTACAATGTTTTGAATCGCTTTATATCCGCTTTTCTCATTCAAACATTTTTTGAACTGTTGGAACCACTAAATCCGCTTGATCCGCATGTGATCCGCTCAATCCGCTCGATCCGCTAGTTCCACTTTTGTCACGCTCAATCCGCTTGATCCGCAACGCTTGATCCGCTTTCTCCATCCGCAATATCTTCACTCCCACCCTCAACTCATATTCTCCTTCCGTGACAGTAATAATTGAAGCTTTAAGATCACACAAATTAATTCCTTCACCCTTTGAAACTTGAAAGAGATTGGTCACAATATTATGTATATGCCTTCAACTCTCGTTTGTCATTGCAATTTTTCTGGAATGGGACATCAGCTTTTTTTTCTTGAACACTTTATGACATGAACCCATTTAAAACAATTATTTTGAACAATCTTACAAACAAGAAGAAACTATGAAATTCATTTTTAGAACGAAAAAAAACAGAAGAATTATTAAATATCTCGTCTAACCATACAAAAACTCAACGAGCTCAAAATAATGTTGCATTAATTAAGATTACTGAATATGCGTTTCTATCGCAATAATTGTCACCAGTTATATTTTCGTTCTCGCGCACTGATAACAAACATCATCGTCCACATCTCATCATATGCTATGTATAATGTATAAAGTAAATAAATTATAAAGTAATGCGAGATAATGGAATGTGGAGAAGCGTATAGAGTTAGAAGAGTTCAGGGTCTCAATCATTTCCACAAGCTAAATATTTGGACCGACTCCGGTTCCTAAGACCATCTCCAATTTATTCCTTTATTTTTTTCCTCATTATAATGTTCCCTTATAATAGTGTGGAGTTTCTCTCCAATGTATTTCCTTATTTTTTACACTAAAAAGGAATATTCTATGGTATATTCTAAATCAACATTTACTATAAAAACCTTTTATTTATAAGTTTTACAAATTAGTCCCAATTATTTTCTATTATTTAATTTGTAATAAATAAAATAGAAATTTAATCATTTTCTACAATATAAATGATGTTATTTCTTTAAAATAATGTTTTATGATTAATTATGGTGAGAAAAAGAAATAAAATATAATTTTTTATAATTTGTTAAAATTCAAAATAAGAAAAATTTAAATTTGAAGGACTATTATGCAAATAAATAACATCAACATCAAAAATAAGGGAGAAAAAAAGTTATACTATATTTGAGGGAAAAAATAGTATTCCTTATTTTGATGGGAGAAATGAGGATGGATTGGAGATGATTTTTACACTAAAATAGTGTTTAAGGGGAAAAATAAAGGTGGGTTGGAGATGCTCGAAGAAAGGAAAAAAAGAAAGAAAAAAAAAAGAGTCGATCAAATGTTTTACTTTATAAAATTAAATAAAACAGTAAGGAATAATAAATGCTAATCAATAAATTACATAAACAAACACAAACCTGCTGGTTAGTCTCCCACACGGAGTCAGCATTTACTACACATTGAATTACTGTTTGACACGTGTCACTGATCCGACGAACTCTTCTCTTATTCCTTTGACCGAAGGACTTCAGTCAAAAGCCCCTGCGCTCTTGTATTTATTAATCAATGACTTAAATTTAAACCCTGCTTAAAAGTTCCATACGTTGGTTTGTTTAAATGATTATACTGTTTATTTATTAAAATGGACCAATATACATTATTTTCTACTTGCATTACATAGATTATAGTATGTCTTAAGATATTACTACTATTTACGTACATATGACAATAAACGTACGCATATACAAATAGTACTATGGATTACGCATGCGTGCGTGTATATACACATATATATATATATATATAAACATATATGTATGTGTAAGTATAAATATAAAGGCATCGACACGCTTCAAGCTAGTCTCTTTATCATTAGTCTTCCTTCTTAACTTTACCTTTTCTTCTTTTTCTTCTTCTTGAAGAACCCTAAATTAATTAAATAATGGCGATTTTACCAGAAAACTATTCAAACTTGGATCTTACTATCTCCGTTCCAGGCTTCTCTTCCTCTCCTCTCTCCGGTAAGCCAAACACTATTATAGGTTACAAGAAACGACTATATAAAATTATATATGGGGCTTGTGTTCGGATCCTATGTTTCTTTTGATTGTTGATCTTGTTATATTATATCATTTCACAAGGAATGATCATGACTAACAAAAATAAATTAAATCTCATGTATACAGTATACATAACTAATTTTTCGTCGCCATATATTTTTATATAAACGGAAATTTATTTAAAAATAAATAATTATGTTTTCATCGATCGTGCTATTACTTTGATCACAGTATCACATCTGTTTTTGTTAATTTAATGTGTAAATAAGTTTCAGATGAAGGAAGTGGTGGAGGAAGAGAACAGCTAAAGCTAGACATGAATCGATTGCCGTCATCAGAAGACGATGAAGAACTCAGCCACGGTGGCTCTGCTCCTCCCCGCAAAAAACTCCGTCTAACCAGAGAACAGTCTCGTCTTCTGGAAGATAGTTTCAGACAGAATCATACCCTTAATCCCGTAAATCATTATACACACTATAAATAAATAAAACCAAAATATGTTTAATTAATTTTCTAGAGTAATAATTGTACGTGACTGATGATGATTCTCTATGTTTTTTTCGTAAAATGTAGAAACAAAAAGAAGCACTTGCAAAGCATTTGATGCTACGGCCAAGACAAATTGAAGTTTGGTTTCAAAACCGTAGAGCAAGGTACGGTTTCTTTTTCATTTATTAAAAAATATATTTCTACTGTATTTTTTACATCATTGGTGAATAAATATCTGGCTATAATAATTAACGTTAAGGGTTCACATAAGCGTTAAACGTTGACGGAATATAAAATAAAGCAAAAAATGAAATCTGATTCGGATTCGACCCACCCCGTTAACATATAACTATAAGTCGTACCCTTAAATAATAAAAAGTTAATGTTGTCCTTTTCATACACTATATCTCATTCCTCCACCAAATATTTATTTTATAATGCTTTCCTTCTAGTTCCTTCTTAAATTCTCGATAGAGTTATATATATATATATATATGTGTGAATCACCACCACTTGCTAGTTGCTACATGTATGAAAGGAAAATTTAAAATTGACCTAAATTTATCAAGTCAAACGATTTACAGAAAGAATTTCACAGCCACTCAAATAAACACACCTATAGATCAAATAATATCATTGTTAAAGTAGTTATACAAATAAACACACCTATAGATCAAATAATATCATTGTTAAAGTAGTTATACATATCACATCACGTATATATGTGTTGTTGCATGGTTATTTTCACAAGTGACAACAACATTTTGGAGCCGCCAGTTATGATATCTATTAACACGTTTATTTAATGTGACTTGGAGCAAAGTTGTATTTTGAAAAACCACTTTGGCTCGTGCACGTCAATATATACGTGTAGTATACATAAGTACATATACCTATATATATTCACGTGTCAAGGTCTCAACGTTTCATACTGATCATATCGTTTTATTACATTTTTATTTTGGTAACGTATGGTTCTTTAATTTCTGCAAGAATCTATTTTGTTCATGTCATGTGTCTAACAAATACTATTAGTCAAACTATAAACCTTAGTCATTGTTGAAAAGGAAAAATACTAACTCATTTAAAAGTAAATTAAGGTCGATCCCACAATAATTGTGAACAGATGGAAAGGTAAGGTGCAATAAATAATAAGAGTTTCAACATTGGTCGTATTACTATTATGATGGTTTCCCAAAATATAACTATAATCATAACCACTCCCTTTTAGTATAGCCTCTTTTTTTTTTTCATTTTTTATATGTTATTAATTATATTTATTAATAGATTCCAAGTAAATTAATCAATGTGTTTTCTTTCTTCTGCCTCGTGTACTTGCTTTCTCATCAATGCCCTTTGACTCATAATTCATTCGGCCGTTCATGCGTTTTTATTATTGATTTATATATTGTTAATATATTTATTTGCATCGTCGGCATGCATTTGATTTGTCTGTGATTAAATAACAAATTCTATAAACTATCTCTGCCGTTTAATTAATCCGTTTACATCGCATAGATAAGTAACTTGTACCGTACCGTTTCTTGATTTGTTTGGTGTAGGAGCAAACTCAAGCAAACTGAGATGGAATGCGAGTATCTTAAAAGGTGGTTTGGCTCATTAACAGAACAAAACCACCGGCTCCACAGAGAAGTAGAAGAGCTTAGAGCCATGAAGGTGGGTTCACCCACGGTTACATCCGCCTCGAGCCTCACCATGTGTCCTCGTTGTGAGCGAGTCACCACTTCAGCGGGCCCCTCCATGGCGGTGATGGCGGTTCCGGCCAAGAAAACGTTTACGCCGCAAGAGTGTGAGCATTGATTTTATGAATCTTGATTATTGGATCTGGTTTAGAAGTCAATGAAGGTCAACCCATGAGCCAAGAAAATAATTTATATGATCAATGATTTTCGTGTAAATAGTAGTTAGAGATTATCTGCCGCACAACAAGTCTTTGTAAATAACTAAATATTCTTATTTTAATCAAAAAATCAATCTCCTTAATTTTGTTTGGAAATATGACTTTGCAATGTCAGTTAAATCCTATATGATTTTTAAAAGTAAATATTTTCAAGTCCTTAGTATAACATCCATCTAGAAAACAATGATGAGTAAACCAAGATTTCTTATATGGTTTTATTAAGGAGATATGGATTAGAATCTTCAAATAATTTACATTATGTTTTTAAGATAAAAAAAACTAATAAAGTATATTATATCCAGTTAAAGTATGGTTTTCTTGTTTGTAGAAATTTACAGTTGCATAAATAAGCTCGGATCTTTTTCTCTTTTCTTTTTAGTCAAGCAATGCTCGGATTTCAATCATTAAAAAAAGAAAAAAGAAAAGAGAAACACTATGGGCCTTGAAGTTAATGGTCGATAATATTTTGGGTCCTCAATATTTGAAACCCTCTATAAACCTGCGATTTTGTATGTTGGGTCATCTGATGGTTACGCTAAAGGGCTGGCCGTTTATAGTTAGCTGACTTAGGTAGACAAGTAAACAGCCGACTAGAGAGAAAAAAGTAGTTCTTCGAGGGATCCCGGCCGATGATCGGAGGCTTCTTTAGCTCCGGTCTGGAAGTTTCATTTGATAGTTCTCCTTTCTACACTCCTTTGTTTTGTTTGGGTTTTTATGGAGAGGCTGAAGCTAGATAATGAAGATACATGTGATATCGAAGAGATCCGTGTGAAATCGGGTTTAAAATAAACATAGGAAACATTTAGATCGATAGAGATGGGAATACTCTTCCCCATGCTATGAAAGCTCGATAGAGGTGGGGAATACTCTTCTCCATGCTATTAGAAGCTAGTTTAGCTACACAAGCTTAAAGTGTATTCAATATCAAAGTTATCTTTACAAAAGCTTGTTTAGCTACAAAAGCTTAAAATTTATTCAATATCAAAGTTATATGAACATAAGAAGATCCTAATAGTATATCTACATCCTAATCTATAAGAAATTATAGTTATCTTTAAATAAAAGAATCCTAATCAATAAATCTAAGTAATACAGTATATACTTGACAAACACGTAGAGCCCAATAGACGTGTTTGTCGTCAAAAGGCCAAATCCATAAGATGCTACATTAGTTTTCCTTTTCTTTTTGGATCTGAAGAAGTTTTGATTGGTTCTTTGTCAGCCTTATTCGTTGAATCTCATTGTGGTGAGCGTGTGGCGACGGTCCCTTTTGTGGATGTGTTTATCGTTATTTATGGTCCTGCTAGATCCAGGCCCGGCCCTTGGCATGTGCCAAGGGTGCATTTGCTCATGGTCCAATTTTTTGTGTGAAAATTTATGTTACATTTTAAGGTATTTTCAGAAATTTTAGGGTCATGTTTGCAAATTTATATTGTTCATAGGGTCCAGTTTACAAATTTATATTGTCCATTGTTGTAAAAACCAAAGTATTGCACTGGGCCTACAAAATTATTGGGCCGGGCATGGCTAGATCTCTATTCTGCGTTGTGTTTTGGCGCTATATGGGTTCATGTTTATTCTCCTTTCTTCAATGGTGTTTTCTTTGGCCCTTTATTGGTTCGACCCGACCCGCCGCCTTGCCAAGAAAATATGTGTTTGGCTTTGGTGTTGTGGTTTGGCTCATGTTAGTCTCCTCCACTCGAAATCACAAGTCCAGACTTGGATATGTTTTCATCTCCTAAGTTCTAAATTTATGTCGTTCTTTGTCGACTAAATCAATCGCTACACATTACCAAGTGAGGACAAGAAGATTTGAAAATGCTGTCAGCTTTCTTAAGATCTTTGAAAAGCATTGATGAGTGGATTTGTAAGAAGTCCTATAATTGTGGCTTTATTTGATTGTCTTTGCTTATGTTAGTTTTCTAGCTTTCTTTCTTTGATAGCCTTTTGGCTAATCACTCATTGTAACCACCTATTGGTGGCTAGCTAGTTTCTTGGCTTTCTTTCGTTGATAGCCATTTGGCTGATCTCTCATTGTAACCACCTATTGGTGACTCATGATGTTCAATAAAAGTTATAATCAGCGTTAAAAAAAAGGTAGACAAGTAAACATTGCACGCTTGCTCATTCACTTCAAGGACTGAATGTTTTTGTTCACGAATCAAAGGATTTGGATATGCTGCAAGTCTTGCAAAAAGTCTTCAGGGGGAGGGGGGAAAGAAGGTTTCGAAATTCGAAGTCTCCTGAGAAACCAAGTGGGTATCCAAGTGGAAACCATAAATTTCATGGGAAGCCGAATTTTAAAGACTACACCCAAAAAAAGAAAAAGAAAAAAAGAAGTTTAAAGATAGGTTAGTGAAATTATGCTTTAAACAATTTGAATCATGATCAGCTTTGGTAACTCATTTTAACTTTGACTAGGAACAAATGGACGATGTTGAATCTTCGTCTTAAATTGAAATTTAGAAGAGGAGATATGCATGACTCAACTATTTTTTAATATCACTTTTCTTTTTGTAGAAGGAGAAAAAAAAAAAAAAGATTATGGCTACTGAAGAAATTATTTTATGGTCTATGCCAATCACAAGACAACAAAACCAAAGGTTCCACTAATTCATGATGAAGATGATTCGCGTGTCTACTACAAAGAATTCAAGTACAAGCAGTTTCATCTATCTAGCTATTGTTTTATGACTTATATGTAGATTATAGATAAGTTACATTACTTTAATGTTGTGGGGGAGTGTCATAGATGAGGTAACTGGCTCCACACTAAATATTGCGCATATGCAGTGGAAATGATAAACCATTTCATGAACAAACCATCAAAAGAACCATGGCTGGATGTTAAAAGGCTTACTAAGTTTCATTAGAGGATTGACACATAGTTTTTTTTTAATGAATAGATCGACATATTATACATAAAATTATTTTATTGCTGGTTTTAAAACAAAAAAACAAACAAAAAGATGAATAGAAATGTTTTGAGAAGTATTTTGAAGACAGTAGAATCATTAAAATCTGGTTGGATAAATTAAATACTGACTTTTTAAAAGATATTTAGATATATGAGAACAATTTTGAAAAAATTACTATTTCATGTGCCAGTGAGAATTTCACATATACAACGCTAGGCCCCATAAAATCTACAATCATCATTTTATTTTGTTGTAAAATTGGGACCTCAATACAAAAACTTTTTGAGCCTCTTGGTTTTGGTAACGACGGGGACGACCCGGCGTGAGGTAGAAAGGCATGCATGGGAATGGACCATGTTCATGTCACGTGACACTATTATGGTCCTCTTTATTATTGATCAAGACACGTGGTCCACTTTTACTGGCTCACAGAATGCATCAGCATCTGCTTAAGGAATAAAGGACGCTTTAGCTCTTTTGTGAAAATTACAGCTTTGATCTTCTCTTTTTATGGGTCCAGAATCATCCAGATCATCATGTCTTACTATAAGATTTGATTAACAGTGAGATATCTTTGTTATCTTATTATATAAAGAACATGTATGTGTTAAATATTATAAGCATATGAATCTCGCACACGAAAAGAGCATTGATCTTGTTGGTACGCCAAACTCGATACGTTTCTATCCAGCGATCTATAATCTCTTTTTATAATAGTTATCGGGATATTATGAATTTGGTAAGTGTAGTTATAATAAGAAAGAACAAAAAAATCGATTAATGGTGATGTGACTCGTGGTCTCGTTTTTTCGGTTATAACTTATTGCCATGTGATTAGGTGTGTGTTAGAAAAAATGTCGTTAACAAATATGCCTCCTCGAATATATACTCCCTTTAAACAATTTGCACCATCCCATGATTATTGATTGGGTCGTATCGAGTATTAATAGGTCAAGCCTGCTCGACTAGAAAAAACAAGGATAAAATATTGTATCTATGTAATTGGGTTGGCCATGATTGAGAGGTGTCTAACGCGGGCTGAATAAGAATTCAATATATGACGGAAAATGATTTAATCAATGAGAACCTTTGAATCTGAGCAAGACTATCTTAATCGCAGGTTCTGGTATGGCTAACTAGGACTGTTTCAACGTCATTATCTGTAACACATTACCATTGCCAGGTTAAAATCGTGAAAGATATTCATAATTATAGTTAAAAACATCTTTCTGGTATATCATTGAATGGTGGAGAGAAATAAAAGGGATTGAGGAGGGTATTGGATGATAGAGTTTAAGATAATGCAAAAAATATCAAAAATCATTGATTTTGAAGTAATTAAAAGTATATGTTGAGAGTTAAACTACTATAATTCTATTAAAATGACACCAAAAACAGTAAAAAATTGATCATTTACATTTTTTCACTGAAATTCTATTAGAGCATGTGAAACGGAGATACCATGATGATATTATGATGGGTTCTTTAAAAATTTTGGAAAAAAAGAAGAAAAAAATAACCAATCAGATTCTGATATGTGTAGAGCTTGTGTTAGAGAAATGATTCCACAAGCTTTTCCCACACAGACGTTAGAGCATGTGCATTACACATATTACGTGGGTTTCTTTAGCCAAAAAAAAAGAAAAACTAAAACATTTATCTATGTGGAGAGACTAAAATAGAGAAGGCTCTTTCGGAAGAGATCTGGAAACCGTTTCCCTGACGCGTTTCGCCACGTATCACAACTCAATTGGATGTATTTTTTTGTTACGAAAATCATTATTTAAAAAAAAAAAAAAAAACTATGTGCGATGCACATGCACTTAGAGCATATAGAACGGAGAAACCATGAAGGTTTCTTTGATTTTTTTTAAACAAAAAAAAGTATTTTCGAAAAAAAAAGAAAAGAAAAAAAAATAAAAATTAACCAATGATATTTTGACACGTAGAGTTGTGCTTGTGCCAGAGAAACGGTTCCAAAA